CCCCCCTGCCCCCCCCCTTCCTGTAGGCCAATCAGGACTTGCGGGTGGAAGAGTGCGCAAAGTCGCCTCCTTCTGCCCGGGGCGTGCGGCGCCTAGGGGGAACCGCCCCTTCCGCGTCAGGCCCCACCCCTTATGGGGGCGGAGCCAGCCCCCAACCACTGCCAAAATTGGTGAAGTGGCCCCCCCTACAAAAATTAATGCCCACCCCTGGCTTGGGGGGTCCGGGACACCGAGCAGGCGGGCAGGGATGCTCGGGGCCAGGAGCAAGCACTAGGGAAAGGGACGAATCCTCCACCGGGCAGCACCTTGGGCCTGACCCTCTGCAGCCAGTTACCGATACCATCAGCGCAGAGAGCGTGAAAGGTGACCAAACCACCTTACACTAGTGTAAATAGCCACACACACACACACGCACACACACACACGCACACACACACACGCACACACACACACACCTGTAGTGGTGCTGTAGAGGAGGCTTTCACAACCTTGGCCAATCAGAGCGGGGAGCAGTCAGCCAATCAGAGCCAGGCTGGGCCCTATAAAAGGCTGCAAGGGCTGAAAGGCACTCACTGTTGCTTTAGTTGTGGAGCAGGTGGGACCTGGCTGCCTGGGAAGCTACAGAGGGTCCCTGAGACGGAGCAGAGCTGGGGAGCTCTGGCCTGACCCGACTTCCAGGCTGCAGGCCTGGTAATAGAAACAAACATTTTTATCACAGAAGTCATGCGATACCTAAAGATAACCTCATTCTTATCCTATCATTAGCACAAAGAGATAAGTGTGCAAAAAAAATTAATCTTAATAACCAGAACCCATTTTGAGTTTCTTCAAGAATAAAACAATTTCAGGATAATCCAGTCTGTAGCATAATTCAACTTTCAGAGAGGACAGGCAGAACCACCCCCAAACAAATGAAGCAAAACACTAAGGCTATGTCTACACTCGCGGCTTCTTGCACGAGTAATATGCAAATGAGGCTATGCATGGAATATCGCCACATCTCATTTGCATAACTAATGAGCCACCATTTATTTCAGAAGAGGCTCTTGCACAAGAAGGAGCGACTACCCTGCCCCTTCTTGCACAAGAAAAACCCTCTTGCGCAATGCCATTACACCTACTACTTTTCAGGAAGAACGGCACTGCGCAAGAGGGTTTTTCTTGCGCACGAAGGGGCAGTGTAGGTGCTCCTTCTTGCGCAAGAGCCTCTTCTGAAAAAAAGTGTCTCATTAGGTATGAAAATGAGTCTCGGCAATATTCCACGCTTAGCCTCATTTGCATATTACTCACGCAAGAAGCCGCGAGCATAGACATAGCCTAGGGGGTTGGGGTTCCCTGGGAGGGGAGGACCAGAGTGTGGGGGCCCTGCTGTGGCGAGGAAGGGGCACCGTGGGTCAGATGGGACACAGGGCCCAAAGTAGCACAGAAGACAGGTAACTCAGGGTGAGACACTGGTCAACAGGGGGCGCTCCAGGGTTGGAAAAGGTAATTCCTGAGGAGAGCAGCAGGGGGCGCAGTGCCTGTGAGTAGACCGCGTTTTACACACACACGCACACGCCCACACACGCACACGCACACACTGCTGCTTCTTGCATACATAAGCTGGGGTTGATTCAGGGAGGGGAGCCCGACAGGCCGTGAGCTGCGGATTTGTAAACGCTTCCACCCGTGCGCGCGCACACACACACACACACACACACACAGTCAGCAAAGCCAACTAATCTCCCCCCCCACTTAGATCCCAGTGCAAACCTAGCACCCCGCCCTGCGTGGGACTGCAACCCCTGCTCCTGCAATCCCTACCTTTGAAAAGCCCCCCCCTTTGGCCTTCACGCTGCTGCACCCCAGAGCCAAAGCTCAGCAGTATCCCACGCGCCCTGGGAAATTGCAGCTCCTGCGCGCTCTCCCGGAACACAATTGGCTCTGATTAATCCCCTAATCATGGTGTTTATGACTCCACCACCAGGGTGGGGACCAGCCAATCTCCTGGCGCAGCCCTTCATGGTGCGGCAGCTGGGGCAGACAATTGGGAGCCTGTCACGCCTTATGCAAACACGCAGTCACCAGCCCTGTCGCCTCTTGTCCCACTAAGCTGCCAGCTCTCCCACAAGCTCTCCCACCCCGCCTGCCCTCCAGCTTCTGACAGCCCCGGCGTACGTTGGTGCACACGCACACACGCGTGCAGGGTCTGTGTCCTTGTGCATCTCCGGGTGTGTTTGCTGGCACTATGTTCCCCCTCCTCCAACATGGAGACGGGATAACCTCTGGCCCCGTGGAAGGGGGGAAATTATTCCGCCTCCCTCCATGGGACAAGATGGGACAGCCCCCCTCCCAACCCCTGCCCCTTCCTTACCCGCAGGTCCCCATTGGTGATGTGTGAACCTGGGAAGGAGGCGTAGAGGGGCTCTTTGCGGTAGATTTTGATGATACTTCTGTCCTGGATGTCCCTGGAAGAGAAGGCGACGCAGTGAGCAGCTGAGCAGCGTAGTTCCTAGCCCCCGGGACAGCCACGGGTAGCCCCTTGCTCTGGGTCTGTCTGCAGGGAGGCCAGGGAGGGCAGATCAGCCGGGGCTTGTGCACGAGAGAGAGAAGAGTTCAGCTCCCTCTGACAATTGGCCAGGGACTCAGCGGAGCAAGGGGTTGATCCTGCTGGGTGGACACATTCGCTCCCTGCCTGGACAGAGCCAACGTGGGCCGGAATTCCGAACCCAGCTGGGGTGGAATCTCCATCTCCTCTCCCCCCCTCCCGGCCCCGCCCAGGGCCCTCACCGGACGTCCTCCAGCTCGTAGAAGACGTTGCGCGACTCGTCCTTGATGAGGATGGCCGTGTTGGAGGACTTCAGCATCCCCATGGTGAGCTTCTGGGGGAACATGTGGACGATGAGGGCGTGCAGCGTGTCCATGCTGCTGATCTCGTGTGTGATGTGGACGCGCCGCGTCTCGTCCCCGAACTGCAGGAAAAGGACCCCTGGGGACGAGGGAGAGGGGAAGGCGTAAAAGCGCCACTCTGAGCAGGCGCTGGCTGACAGCGTGACAACCCAGGATGGGCTAGGAGTCAGCAGACCTGGGGGATTTTCCTGGCTCTGTGCCTCAGTTTCCCCACCTGCTTGCGCGGCTATAGACCTAATATTACTGTTACTACCCTACTGTCACACCCAGGCCAACGCCGGGAAAACACAGCATGAGGCAGGAGAGTGATACAGGTTTTGCACCGGTATCTCCCCTAAAGGAACAGGGTGAGTGACCCAGACTTAGCGGCAAAGTTGTATCTGGATCCGTATTTCACCCTGCACAAAGCAGGAAGATCTTTGGCTCCAGGGCTGCGGCGATTTCTAACCCTGGCCGGTCCCTGGGGATCATTTTTAAGGCCATCTCCGTTGCCCCCCTCTGCCCCTCCGCTGCTCCCCAATCGGGATGCTAGGACATCACCGATTAACCGCTGAGCTGATGTTTTGCGGCAAAGTTGTATCTGGATCCGTATTTCACCCTGCACAAAGCAGGAAGATCTTTGGCTCCAGGGCTGCGGCGATTTCTAACCCTGGCCGGTCCCTGGGGATCATTTTTAAGGCCATCTCCGTTGCCCCCCTCTGCCCCTCCGCTGCTCCCCAATCGGGATGCTAGGACATCACCGATTAACCGCTGAGCTGATGTTTTCGGTCTTGGTTCCGCTCAGCCCGTTCCCGGGGAGGCAAGAGCTGTGGCAGGGCAGCACAACCGCCTCCCCAGGAG